GAAATGATAGAATAGCAAAATGATCAAAAAATCAATTACGATTCTTCATAATATAATTGATTACATAATATTTGGGAAAATGTGAAATCAGTGTGTATTATGCTATTTTGTGGTTTATGTAGATTAGCAATAAGAATTAGATGCTTAGGTTAGAAGATCAAATCATCTTTGAATTTTGTGTTGCTTAGGTTAAAAGATCAAATCATTTTTGTCAACTTTGAATTTTTTGTATTTTGAAATTTTAGATGTTTATTAAATAGGTGATTAATGAAACAATTAAAGCAAAAGAAAAAAAGAAGGCAAAATTGATAATGACGCTCCACCCACAATTGTGTAGGTGTAGGAGCCCATTACGAAAGAGAAAAGCAACATAAAAATACATATATAATTAGAATGACCAATCATGTGTCTCCACGTGAACGTTATCAATGTACATTTCAAATTCAGAAAAATAAACTCTTTACAATACATGGAAATCATGATATTATTGTAGACATAAGAAACCGAGCTCTACAATTTAAATTGTCATTAGATAAATAAAAACACTAGATACTTATTTCATTATTTAAACCCTTCATGTGTCGGTCACACATATAAATATTTTAACCTAAAGTCGGTTTCTTCTATAAGTTTTTTTGCCTCACACATAAAAAGCAAGTAGAAACTAAGAAAGAGAAGAGCTTCATTTCTCAAACTCTCATCATCTATCAATCCATTTATGGCTTATGGAGACAGAAGTTCATCAGGACCGTCGATCTTGGATTCGTTCTCGCTCTCGCCTCTACCTTACCCTGTCCTTTTAATCCTAGCCGTTGCTTCGGTGTTCTTGTTGACTTCTTGGTACTTTAGCTTCGAAGATGCAGCCGAATCCGCAGGAGAGCAGCTGAATCTTGCTCTTCTCTTGATCCCTCTGATTCTTATAGTCTTGGTCCGGTGGTTATCTTCTTTGGAGAATCCAGACGCGTTTCTTGGGATGTTTTCGAACCGTCGTCAGGTTTATTACAGGAGTCCCGGCGCCGGAGACGACGGTGGAAGCTCGCCGTGGGGAGTGGCGGCTTTGATAGTTTTACTGCTTGTTTTGCTTCAGTATCAGTCAAGTTTCTTGGAGATGTGGTTTGGTTGATAACTTTTGATATGTTGTTTTTGTCGTCTAGTGGTATGTAAATAATTTATTTGAGATTTGTTTTCTTGTGTTAGTACGTTAACTCGCTACGAGGTTGAGGATCTCGTGACTTGTGTTATCCGATATCTTTCTTTCCTCTTGGTTACATGTGATTTCGTTTGATTAACGTCACCGTAAATTTTTTAATAGGAGGACAGATTCATTATGAATGAATTTATAAATTGAATCCATTTATAGATGGAGTATGGAGATATGGAGTCGATGGCTCTATAGGATATTTTATTTTCAAAAACTGCATTTTTCAAGCATTCGCACCAACCCCACTAAAGTTTTTCGAATCTGAAGAAAAGAAATTAGTTTTTTTCTTTTCTTTACAATAATATGACGTATATGATGTTATTGC